CTTACTTTTTATAATGAATTTCACGGTGTATTGTAATGAAGCTTTTTTTATCTGTAATATTAACTTGTATTCAGGGACGGGCAAATTCATTATTTGGATAAAGAGTTTTGAATAACAAATAAAAGATAAAGTACTTCATTATTTTTAATTGATTAAATTTTAAAATTCCAATTTTTATAATGAAATAATACTTCGTAAATGAGTAAACATTTCGTCGCTCTAGTTATTAATTGTTCTATCTCCACTAACTTCTAAACTGAGAAAACTTACAATTAGTTTAACCCTTTCGGTGCGGCATACTTATAGTTTATAGCACTACTACTAGCACTTACTACTTTACTGTTTTTTCTCTTTGTTCATTTTCGAGGGTTCATTATATGTATGTGTCAGACTAGTATAAGCAGTATTACGTATGGAATACTTTGAAAACAAGATCGTGAGTAATAATCAATAAGATGGATTAGATGGTAAGGTACTGACCCAAAAATTATTGCACTGTCGTATAATCGTGTCTACAGCGCTCGTACCGACCAATTCATAAAACGTCTATAGACGCTCATAGTACCGAAATGGTTAAAGTTTACGAAGTTTGTTATAATAAAAGCAGGAAAGTAGTGAAAGAATCAAACACACTATAACATCATCTACTGAATAGCTATTTATTACAATATTCAACAAAATTTTATCTTGTTATCGACATAAATTTTTAATTGTTATTAGTATTTGGAGATACAACCATCAAGAAAAAAAACTTTCAAAGTTTCGGAGTTAGAATTTGCTGATTTCACAAGATATAGACAAGAATATTTGTTGTTTTCTGGAATAAACATTCTTTATATTGTGATGAATTTGTATTCGTTAAACTACTGAGGGGCGCGTAGATTGATGAACTAAATTTTTTTGAAAAATGGAGTTAGAACAGTTAAGAACACGGGCGACGACTTGTCAAACAATCTCATTAATTGCATAAAGCTCAGGCACCATTGCCTTTCCCACTCTTTGGCCAGATCCTCCAGAATCAATGTCCTTATTTTTAAGGCATCGTAACGTAGGGTAGCTTGCCATATCTAACATTCTCTGATCTATTTCACATAAACAACCCTCTACGTCACCGATAGCCGAATAATCTAACGTAGTTTTCCGCTGTCTTGTGACGCCAGAGTCTGTTTACTCTCATCCAGCCTCTTTCAAGGTACCACACGCATTCCGAAACCTTATCATAAATTCTCCAAGTGTCAATGAGCATCAAACCATCCACCTCCGACTCTACTTAAAATACATTAACGCTAACATATTAATACCCTGTAGATCGTAGGAGTTTCATTACTGATCTGTAAGTACTCACATTCAGAAAATTATATAAATGGCCGCATGAGGTCTCAGGATACCCCAATTTACCATTAAGTTTTTGTTCCCTTTCTTTTGAGGATAATTAAATAAAACTGTGGCCATTAATGAAGTATTTTATTGTTACTAAAATTCGTAAGAACAAACAACTTGACATAAAATTTAAACATAAGAAATAATGAAAGGAAACAAAGGTCCTATAAAGTAATCGTATTTAGCCGTATGACGAGATCAATTGTTACAAAAAGAACTAATCGAATGAACAAAGATGACACTGTCTTCACATTCTTTGCAGTAAATAGTGAAGTGATTGTTGCAAACGCATTTTTTACATTTTTTGCATTTTGTCATTACTGCTTTGTCACCTCTTCTAGGGCAGAACGTTCACGCGTCACACTCCAAGAGAGCAAAGACACATGCGCACGAGATAACGTTTGGATAATGACTGAAATGTGAAGTTTGACGTGAACAATGTAGGAAGCTAGCGATGGTGCAGACGCGTTTCATTTAATAAAAACACTTTTTTTCTCGTTTCGAAAATGCGATGATCCAAATGTGAATAATTAAGGCCTCTTTCCCCTTTAGCGGGCCGAAAGAAGTTGACATTTATGAATTCTTTTAAACAATGCAAAGAACATATAATAAAGAAGATTTCCTGGTCTTTGGTTCTGGTTAACTATAGTTTCCTTCGTCTCTCGACCACAGACACAGAAAAAGTTGCGCGACGAACGGCTATGGTGATAGCCTGACGCGACAGGAATTATTACGCGTCACGGCGACGGAGTTCGTCTTCCGGCCGGTTGAATCCGTCGCGAACGGGACAACATCGATTCGATTTTCATGGCGGTCATCGCGCGTTCACATTTCAACCCGAATGGGCCCCGGGATCCCGTAAACCGGTGTTCGTCATTTCACGCGATCAAATCGCCCGGGTTCGGCCAGTTTCCACGTAACGGCGTTCAATCGGGTTTGCACGGAAAACCAGCCGGGAAATTCCGTTCGGGGAAGGACAGATTTATGAGGAGCGCGTGTCCTTGAATTTGGTTTCTGTGCAATTTTACCGGACAAAGCGAAGTCGGACGAGTGCCGAAGTGATGAATACTGGCCCTTATAGCAAACATCTTCATCAGACGTGTCGACGTAATTATTACGGAAAGTATTTACGTGTCTTTTAAAGGGTTACGTACCTTTGAGCTATTAAATAAGAGGTGAAAACTAAACAATTTTTTTGTATATGCAGAATTATTGTTTACTAAAAATTCGACGTCTACGTCATATTATATGTTATTTGCTTAATAATTTCTGAAAAATTGAGCTATATATCTATCAACGGTTGAAAATGGCTGTCATTTAATTATAACCTCTCATCGAAACACCGTGTGCGGTAACGAGATAATATCTCAGTGGGTTTTTATCTTATCATACAAGTCTTTTTAATTTTATATTAAAGTAGACAAAAGGGACCAGTACTTGTCGCAGCAGATTTTGAAAATATCAATATTGTACAAAATGGCAGCTGTTTGAACTTAAACTTATAGTTTCCGACATAAATTGTCAACTTCCTTTGTTACTAAAAAAAGAAAACTAGCACGAATAAAAAAATTCGCTTCAAGTACTTGATTTTAGTCTCAAGAACATTACTACAAAGTGTCATCCAAATTGGTCCAATAGTCTTTCAAATATTTCTAGTACCGATTTTGAAAACTGCATTTCGAGTAAAACGTTTATACATGGCATCCGTTTTCTTCTGTTGATAGATGTATAGCTCGATTTTTCCGAAATTACTAAGGAAATAACACATAATAAGATGTATACAGGGTGTAACATAAATGTTGTCCGACCCGGAAATGGGGCACTCGGAGGGTGAATTGGAACAAGTTTTTCCTTAGCAACAATGTAATCCGAGGCTTCGTTACCGAAATATTAACGAAAAGCCGCGACCAATCGGAGCGCGAGTTTGCCAGCCGAGTTCCCGCGCTAGCGGTGGCTACGCGCTGCGATTTGTAGTCAACGCTACCGCGAGAACTCGGCTGGCAAACTCGCGTTCTGATTGGTCGGGGTTTTTCGTTAATATCTCGGTAACGAAGCCTCAGATTACATTGTTGCTAAGGAAAATCTTGTTCCAATTCACCCCCCGAGTGCCCCATTTCGGGGTCGGACAACATTTTTGTTACACCCTGTATACTAGTGTCAACAAGTTTTAAGCGGAGTTGAAGGCGGATGGCCTGTCGCTCATAGACCGTTGGAGAATTTATGGACTAGGGTTTCTAGAACGCGTGCGGTTGTGGAAGAGGGTGCTTGAGATTAAACAGATCTGGCGTCGCATGGTAGCGGAATGCCACGCTGAGTCCTTCGGCTATCAGCGACGAAGAAGGTTGTTTATGCAAAACAGATAAGTGAAAGTTAGAGATAGCAAGCAGACCGACGATGCATTGCCTTAAGAATAAGGATATTGTTCCTAGAGAATCTGGCCACGGAGTGGGGAACGCAGCGATGCCTTTTGGTAAGAGGGCTGTGAGTGACCGCACGGCATCGGCACTTACCTCAGAATCTCTGAGGAATACGGTTCTCGTTAAAAATCCAGGCATCGATAGAAATTTTTAATATATACATTGAATTTTTAATAAACAATAATTTCGCATATAGACAAAAATTTGTCATCTTCCTTCTTATTTAACAGCTTAAAGGTATATAACCCCTTAAGGGGTTATGCGCACAAAGGAACACCTCGAACGCTGACTCGCTGATTAGAATGAAACTTTGTGGATTTATAGAGTGCTTCAGTACAAGACTAACGGTATGTTTTATTCGTGCCCAATCGACCCTTAAGGGGGAGACTCTTTGGGGCCAACTCTGAATCTCGATCGAAGCGCATTTGTAAACAAACGGACGCTAGCAAAAACACATAATCGATAACTGTGACGGCTCGTCGATACGACATCTAACAGCAGTACCTACAAATAAATTTTTGTTCCTCTTACCTCAGTGTTACTGTCCCGGACCAAGTATCCCGGTTTGACGCAACTTTTTGGGTCCTTGCTCCGACTCTGGCCCTAAAGCATCAGAGTTTGTGGAGCAGGCCGGGGAAAATAAAGGAGAGGAATGGATAGGTGACGAAAAAGAGAGGTGGCGTTTCGTCTCGGTACCACCAGCTAGACTCATCAGTAGGGCTACACTGGTGGGACCTTTTTTTTTAATAAACATGTTTATTGCAAAAGATTAGTACATTTAATTAGTTTGGTAACAACAAACATAGAAAAAATACCAGACGGTTATTGCATTTTATATCTATTTGTACACTCGTTTGTGCAACTTATAGATAATCATCTTTGGTTTATATCTACCTTATATTATTAATACCACTTACAATATAATCAGAGTACTATTAATTAACTCTAAACAGTCTTTGTATAATCGGAATTCGGGGAAAATTAACATAAGAGAAAAAAAAACCCCCTTCATCTCAGTCTTTGGTATAACAATCCTTATAACTAACTTAATAATAAGGGAAAGGAAGAAAGGAAGAGAGAAAAACGAGAAAAAGGAGCGAAGGAGAGTTTTATATATACAACTATATACATAATAATTTTAATTTCCATACATGGGGATATTTTCGTCTATAATTGCTCACAGCTCATTCATGGTACCTAACACTAATATAGTCTTAGAGAACTTATTCTACGTTCTCTAAGGTCAGCTATATGATTATCATTGATCGACAACCACCAATACTTTTTAAAATTAAGTCTATGAAAGTCCATAATATCAATGTCAGGTAATGCCAATGAAAACTTAAAGTTATTATTATTTATATTAAAGTCCGAATGGTGAAACGCAATTCTTTTATTCGCTTTGTTTCTTCTCCAATGATAAATGAGATTTATATTATACGCATTTTGTATTAAACCTAATTTATCACAATGTATAAAAGCCTGAGGCGACAAATATCCATTGGTGATTTGTCGTTGTGAGAGAATGGGATCATGTATTGAAAGGGTCTGCAATATACTGTTCTTAATCAACGGAAGTTTGCTAAAGTAATCTCTTGTGAGTTTTATGATAAATGAATCTATCCTTGGAATACCAGCTTTGTTGTATATAGTTTTATTATTAATGAAATGTTGCCAATCTGACTGCTGAGATCTGTTAATTCGTATGCAAGCTCTTAGGCATTTTCTCTCAAACATTCGTATTTTCTCCACAACTGTGTTGTTACAATTCCACCATATGGGTGCAGCGTAAGTTAAAATAGGTCTGACAAGTAGCATATATAGTATAACTTTTGTTTTATTGGATAGGTATTTGTTATAGAAAATTCTGCAATTAGATTGAAATGCTATTTTGGCTTTGTTAATTTGAATGTCAATATGCTTATTACCTCTGAGCAGATAATCTATGTGAATGCCTAAATACTTAACTACCTTTTTATGAGGAATATTTTCTTTATTAATTGTACTGGGGATTGTTGTGCAAATTTGAAATTCTCTACTTCCCGCTTTTACTTTTGAAGATAAATTATCTAGAGGTTTCCTGAACAATATAGTTTCACATTTACTGGGATTCAATCTCAAGTTCCATGCCACGTAATATTGGTTTATTTTTTCCACTATCTCTTCAAGGTTATCTCGTACCGTTTTAACCTTGTTGCCATAAGTATATACAATTAAGTCGTCGGCAGAAGCTAGAGCAGATGATTTCCTATTTTCGTTAAGATTAAATAGCCTGGGCAGGTCACTCAAGAGTATATTAAATAATATGGGAGAGTTGACCGTTCCCTGTTGCAGTCCCTCCGTAATTCTAAATTCCTCGGTAGATAGGTTTTCACCATCCCATGTGAGGAAAGTATTATTGTTAATCATGTCCCATATTTGGTATATAAGCCAGGTAGGACACTGCTTCTTATTCAATTTATACAGAAGGCCGTTCAACCATACTGAGTCAAACGCCTTCTCTATATCTAAAAAAGCTGCTCCTACAATTTGGCTTTTAGCGACTAGTGTGTTGAGATCTGACATGAATTTATGGATCGCGTGTGTTGTCGAATGCTGGTGTTTAAAACCAAATTGATGATCTGGTATGATTTTATTAATATTGCAAAATTCATTTATATTGGAGTTAATAATTGATTCGAAAACCTTGGTTAGGCTGGGTGTTAGATTGATAGGACGGTAGCTGGAAGGGTCGCTGGGATTCTTATTTTTTTTTAGGATAGGAAGGACTTTAGCCCTTTTCCAAATTTTAGGGAAGTAGTGGTGATTTATAGAGTTGTTGAATAGTATGATTAGATCAAATTTCATATTTCTCGGCAAGTGCTTTAATACTATGGGAGGTATGTTATCGAGGCCACTCGACGTTTTGTTTGGAAGGCTCTTTAAGATGAGTTCAATCGACCCAAGGCTACAAAAAGGCTGCGGTTGAGTATCTGGCGGATTAGGATTGCTGGCTACATTGTCTCTATTGAATAGTGTGATAGTGGAAACCGAGTCTCTAGAATTCTTAAATCTGTTTTTAATGTCCTCAGCTGTAGCGTCTACTACTTGTTTGAGAGGTGTGTTAGTATTGAGGTAACGAGGTGAGTTGATTGCTTCATAGAATGATCCTATTATATTTAACTTATCTTGTGGGGCTGTAAAAATGTAACTATTTGCAGTTTTATGAACATTATTAAGGTCGCACTTGCTTCTTAACAAGGTACCTGAATCATTGAGTTTAACATGAAGGTTTTCAATATGAGAAATCTGCTTGGCTCTAAAAATTGCATTAATTTTGGAGAAAAAAGCTTCACGATTACTATAGTCTATTTTCTTAATTTTGTTGTTCCAGTATTTGTCCGTAGAGATTTTGAATTCTAACTGTATAGCTCTAGAAGTGTCTTTTAGAGCTTCTTTAGCAATTACTGATATAGTTCTAGATGAATGCGGATCTGTTATATGGAGGTCGTGCAACAGAGAAACGGGATAACTCTTTATCTTTAAAAGTTTGCGTATGTTATGATTTAAATATCTATGAATGCTATTGCCAGGTTTGATTTTAGGAACAGTACTGATTATTGTATTGTGGATAACGTTATTGATGTGTTCCAGATTACTGTCTATTTCTGGAATATTATTGTTATAATTTTTATAATTTTTGGCTAGCTTTTTAGTAAATTTACGCCAGTTAGTGGCTTTGAAATTAAAGCGATATTGTTCAGGGACCGGGTTCCAAAGCGGAGTGTTGTCATTTGAAAGCTCAAATGTAACTGAAATTGCAGCATGCTCACTATCGTATGGTAGGGTTTGTGCTTTTCCATTTAAAGCATTATCTAATTTAAGCCTCGCGTCTGCTAGACAGATATCAAGAAATGAATTATGTGGCTTGAAAGTGGACTCTGAGGATGTAATTATTTTTAGTTTAAAGGTGATTCCGAAGGAATCTTCCCATTGTCTCATGTACCTACCCCGTTGGTTGTGTAACCTATCTCCCCATGCTTTTCGCCTTGCATTAATATCTCCAGCTATAATATAATAATTACTTTCACCGTGTAAATTTAACTTACTAAATAGATTATATAATTCACAAGAAAAAACTTTTCTATCGTCAAACTTGGCATAAACGCTTACTAAAAATAGGCTCCTATTATATTTAAAGCTATTTTAATTCTAGTATACTCTAGAATCTCATTTACCGTAGAAGTTGGGTAGGTAATCTTTTCATACGGTATTTCTCTCTTGATGATGATAGCTGTCCCTCCACCTTGCGTTGCGTTGGGCCGGTCAGTTCTTATAATGTGGTGGTTCATAAAGGAAATCTTGAATTTTGCATTTAGCTTGGTCTCAGATAGTAGGAGTACATCATGATTATGCGCTTGTAGAAACTGTAGTAGTTCTATTCTTCTGGCATTAGATATGATAGAATTGACATTAATTGCCGCCACTTTAATTCGAATTCCCTGGTTTGTGGTATGATCCATTTCAGCTGGAGAAGAGTCTGTTTAGAATGTACTCTATTTTACTAGTATTGGATGCTATCTGTGCTGCAAGCGTCTGCAGCTGATTGGAGAAAAGCGAGGCTATTTCGTTTTTGAAATCTTGAATCCATTTTGGAGGCTGACAAGATTGTTGATTATTGTTGAAGTGGGGCTCGCTCCTATTTGCTGTAGCACTGTAATGGTGAACATTGCTCTTCTCTGCTGGTAGAGTATAATTGGAAGAGGATTCTGCCTGGATTCCTGATGCCGCATGAGCATACGTGATATTCTCCCTGACTGAAGTAGCTATCTTTCTAACTTTATGTATAGTATTCCGGTGCAGGTTGGTACTGTGTGCTTTTTTTGATCTAACGCAAACTTGATAAACTGGCAACCCTTATAAGAAGCTGGGTGACCTGTCTGGTTGCAATTAGCACATTTTAATGCTGCTGTATTGTCCAGAGCAGTAATGGGGCATTTCCCTGGCTCATGGGATTGTGCGCATTTCACGCATCTATAGCTCAGTGAGCAGTTTCTGCTCGCGTGTCCCAAGCTTTGACAATTTTTACATTGAAAAATGATCTGTCGCTTTAAGTGTTCCCACCTAACTCGTTGATAAACTAGGGTTTTAACTTTAAATAAATCCGCCGTTTTACTCTCCGCTGAGACTTGAATCAGGTAATGATACTTTTCAGAATCTTATAGTTATTTTTAGTTAATTTTAGAATATTATAGTTAAATTTAATTAACTTGATAATTCTTAAGTTTGGAATCTTAAACTCTTCTATTTCGTTTTTTATTTCTTCTGTGTTAAAATTTCCCTTAATTCCTTTTATTATTATTGACTTGGGTTTGATATGTTTCGAGGTGAACGTATAATGTTGTATTTTGTATACCCTCAGTTTGTTGACTATTTCTTGGTGGTATTCTAGCTGGTTGATGTATATGGTATGATTCTCTTTGTTAACCTCCTTAACAGCAAATACTGTTTCAGGAATTTGCGTGGATTTGATAATTTTTATAATTGCCTGGATGTCTGTCTTTACTGCATATATTGGTGGAGGTTTTGGAGTTTTTTGATTGTTACTGCCCGTATTACCTGGAGCTGGTGCGTTTTCCTCGAGTTCCATCTCGTCTTCATTGGAAAGAATATTAAAGGTATTATGACTAGTGCAAGGGTCCTCTGCCGGTGACTCATCAGCTTTGATGATAACTTTGCTTGTTTTTTAGGGATTTCCCATCGTTCTGTCCGTGCTTCGGAATTCTCATTTTTCTGTGTGTTTTGCGACGCTTCCGCAAGGGGCGTTAGTGATTGACTTTTCCGTGCTGTTTTCAGGTTAGGGGTAACCTTACTTTTGCTGCTAACGTTGTTCTCCTTAAGAAATTGTTTATATAGCCAGTCTAGATGCAGAGAGTGAAGCTTAGGCGCTTTCAGTTCCCTTGATTTTATAGAAGAAGTCGAAGCTTCGTTTTCTGTATCAGAAGATTCTGGCGATATGCACCGCTTCGAACCATGTGCCCTCGATGATTCCATCTTACCCACTTTTAACTACGAAAGGCGGTATAAAACCCACTATAAACATGGTGTAGATTAATACCCACAACACCGTGCACTGTTGTAGTTAATAATTATTGCACTAAATGATATTGCGTTCACTAGTATTAACTTGATCTACAAAATATTGTTCGCGTTGTCGGTTCTACGTCCTTTCCCAATGGCGGTCAGACTCGGACTCACACTAGTGGGATCTGCCCTAGACACGCGGGACACAGGATGATTTTTGGAACTTGTATTTATATGAACGGATTAGGAACGGAGTACTTGTGAGAAACGCGGCGCGACGAAGAGACCTCTGCCGCGTGCTTCCCGCACTTTATCGGCCTCCGAGTGCCATCCGCACTTACCGGCGGACCCATTCGTCGGGTGACGTCACACCATCAAGTTGGGTTTGAGTATTCTGCTACGCAAAAGCATTGTTGATGGACCATATCGAGAGTTTTCTTACGTTGTTGCCACATATCACCCATTAGAATTCTGCCCATCACGAGAACGATGCAATAAGTACGGCTAGAGGCGAGATTACGATTCTCGCCGAACGTAGGAAAATAACGGCGGGAGCGAAAAAGATTCCTGAATGGAACAATACATACTAATGTGTGCAATGATAAAACTTTTCTATTCGTACTTGCAACGATGCTTACATTTTTTAATCAATGAAATTATATACGAAATACTTGAAATGGTATTTCCGAGAAACAAATTGTAAAAATGACACAATATATATTCCGAGTGTTTCATGTACAAAAAAAATTGAATACTATACCAATCTGCTGTTTGAGATATTTATTTAACGCAAAAAGAACATTGGATAAAGATACTTTTTCTATTCGAAGAGCATTTCATTCGTAGTGTCGAATACATATTTCATCTTTTATCTGTATCTTCATTTGAAGGCACCGAATGAAACTTGGAATAATTTTTGCTAGCTTGAATAAAGGCCCATTAATACCAGTCGTACTCGGGCTGTTGAGAAAATTCCAAGTCTTCAATGGGTCTAATAAATTACTGAAAAACGGCGAGATCCCTGGCTACCGTATCATAAGTAGAGATGGCATCAAGTTCAATATATATGTACGAATCCAAGTCAATTTCAATAATCAAGTTCCATTTCATGGGTTTCGATTGCTTCTTAAAAACAATAAAGTTTCAGTGAGTATACTTGAAATGTAATCATTTTGTACGATTTGGGTCCGAACTCTAGAATGAATACCTTGAGATTTGAAAACGCACTTGTAAGTAGTTTGATCTTCGAAAGATTCGAACTCTTTAGAAGTAGTACTCGAAATCTAAGTGTTCAGTGAAATGCGAATAACTGATTGAAACATTGTCATTCGTTGTATCGGGCATTTAATATTTAACAAACTAATTCTGTTCAAAAAAATATAGGTAAATAAATGCAATTTAGACCATTTATATATAAATTTCACTAAACTACATATAATTGCAAAGAATGGAGAACTTCTGATCGAAGTACCTACTCATAAAAGGTTCAAAACTACTCGGCCAGCGTTCCTGTATACTTGGTTCAAACTTCTTTTATCTAGGTTCGAGTCTACTTGAAAGTATTGCTTCCCTTTTTCAAAGAATTTATCAATCGTTCGAAACTATCCAGTTAGATTCGAACCTGCTTGCATTCTACTTTATCCCATCTCTAATCGTAAGCCTGGACGACTGTCCAGACAACTCTAAACCCCTGTAGGCAAAAAAATATCACGGTTTGATATCCCTGCTAGAAAGTTGATTCTTTTTCTTTAGAAAGTTAAAATCTATTCCAATAACTAACTCAAATAAATAATGATGAATTATTGGAATAAATAGAAGGAATAATTTGTTGCGAATGATAAATAATTATTATTCAGATAAAATATTCGACTGCAAAGAATTATAAGATAAATATCTATTCAAAACAATTCGAATAATGCCCAAATCTGCGCCTGACGGGCTCCCACGCTGGATAGCACTGCAATATGCAGTTCCCACGGCAACTGTTCTTCGTTATAAAAATCTACAAAATTGATTTATGCAGGGACGGGACGCAAGTGGCTTATTCCACGCGAAGTCGGTCATGTTTTGGAGTAACATTATGGATTTTCTTCAAAGTAGGATATGTCGTAGTCTTTAGTGATATATGTATGTATATACGTATCACGCATAAATCAAATCATCTGCATAAAAATCAAATTATATTATCATAGAAATTTACAGCATGTACATGTATGAAACATTGAGTATGTATGTATGTACATTGATATGCAAAGTTGGCGTCCGCCCAGTCAGTTATCCCTGATTGGTCTCGAATGATCTCTCGGTAGATCTCGGAATGATCCCCGGACCCGGATCGGACGCAGGTCCGATTGCGTATAAATGGGTCATAATGATCAAGTCGAATTAGACTTTGAACAAAAAATAAATCTAATTAGCTATTTGTACGAAATGGTTCGGAAGGTTATGTAATGAAATGTATACGTTTGAGACTCCTGAATTGTTGGGAAACACTGTTAAAAAAATTCGAAAGTGTATGAATAATATGTTTTTAAATAAAACACGAGGTATTTTTAATATATACAAAGTGGGATATAGTAGGTTTAAATCGGTACACATGTTCAGTTGCAAAAGAATTAAAATTCAAAATAAGCTCTTCTTGCAATTGCTTCATACTTGAAGTGATTTGAACATAGAGCTTCGAAATTTTAGGAAAATATGATCTCCATTATGATCAAAAAGTGTGTCAAATTTCACCAGTAAAATTTGCTCGTTTTTACAAAAAGCCATTCATTTATCCCAAACGCGTCTCCGGAAATGTTAATTTCTCCATCTTTGGCAAGTCGAACAGCAAACAGCATGATTCTTTTTTTATTCTTTGAGAGTTGTACTATCATATAGACTTCCAGACGAAATGTATCTTTAAAATTAAACCACTGAAAAATCGCTTCAAAGAGTAAGTACCTTTTTCCTTGTAAACAATTTGAATAACATCTTCATTTTTGATTGCATCGAATTGCCGTATTGACCATTGGATAACTGCTATTTGTCCACAAATTTTAAAACAAAATATTTTACTCTAACTTAATCGGGAGTCCCGATAATTTTTTGTTTACATCATTGTGGCGTCCATTTTTAACATTAAGAGTTGAAATTTGAACAAAGTTTGGAGGAAGAGTTAAATTATCTGTTCCTTAGTTTTCGATTTATGTAATCCATTCAGTGGCTTCTCATAAAGATCCCAAAGTTGCAGTATGTATTTTATTTTAATCTCGTGCGTTTTATCTGGCGGACCCGGGAAAATTCAGGTTTTCTGTGCAACAAATTAACGTAGAGCGATGCATTTTTTTTTAATTAAGGCCACTTCGACGAGATATTAGCTTAAGCGTATTTAACCAATCTTGTAAAAGAATTAATTAAAGTCCGAAATTTTACTTCTTTGATTTTGTATGTTTTAAGTTGGTTCATTTTGTTTATTAGGCAGAGATGATGTTTAAGTTATAAAACAGAGACAATTCTGAAAACTGCACATTTTACAAATTGAAAGAACAAAACTTGTTTTATACGACTCCCATGTATATTTAACACTTAATAATTACAATATTAAGACATACATATAATCGTTTCTAATCGAAGACTTCCAATAAACCTTCGAATAACTTTTTCCAGCGCGAATAAATGCGCTGCCGAGGGTCCAGCGCCGGTGTTGGGAATTTCAGCATATATGTACACCCACGAGCAAACTCGGCTTCCGCTAGGGGAAAAAGCGGTGTAGAATAAATGTCTTCTACCACTTGGTAAATTTATTCCAGGTACAGAAATAAATGTTAAATTGAATATTAATTTGGCATAAATTTCAGTAATTCCAAATACCAATGGGTAAGAGCATGGTAGGTTGTTCTCCTACATCAACTTTTCCCCTAGCGGAAAGCCGAGTTTGCTCGTCGGTGTACCTATAAACATCGAATAGAGCCGACCGAACGCCCAGATGGCTGCTGCAATATTTACAGTAAGGCGAGTGCAGGAACGGGGTCCGATAGCGCGACGCCACGGACGTCGTAAATTAGCCACGGACCCTTGAGAAGTTTTCTGTTGACGACGACGAAAGGACCTCCTGGTCACAATATAAGTATGGTCACTTTGCGAAAATCGCGTTGTAAAAGTGTTAACGCACATGCGGTCTGCGCATTATGGCTATACAATCAAGAACATGGCGACAGTCACGTGACTTTTGGATCGCTTGGCGCTATTCTCAATGGAATTGAGAGAATTGTATATATTTAAATATATTATTGTAATATATTTTCCTCACCTTTTTACATGCTTACATCTTATTTTCCCTCTATATCAAAGTGAACTACAGAACGTGATCATAGCTAAATCTGAAATGGACACGATTCTGAAAGTTCTAGTTGATAATAAGCTCTCGACGAGTTTTTTTATTACATACTGGCACTTGGATTGTAAAACTTCTCGAACTTACGCTCAAATTGTGTATCCCTTACTTTCGAGAGCAATTATCGTAAAGAACCATCAAGTAGACATCTAGCTTTACTTCAATATTACTGCTAGTAGTGCTTTTAATTG